AATCAAGCCTAGAAAAAACCCAGTGAACCACCCCTTTAAAAAAAATCTTAAAAGTCAAGGTAACTCGAATTCAAAATGACTGACAAAATGTGTGCTACAATGTTCTGTGTTTTGACTGAAAACAGGCTAGACTAATCGATTCTTGGCATCTAAGAATGAGGTTTTGTCAAAAATGAGAATGGAAAAAAAAAACGAGAAAAGTTTTTTTTTTTTTACCCAGCTCTAAGTAAGAACCGCCTTCTAAAGTCTCCAGAAGTCTTCTCAGAAACACACAACATGCAATACAGAACATATCTAGAGCTGGTGGATGCAGAATACATCTGATCAAACCTCTTTGACCATCAGTTATCAGTTACGACATGCAGGTGAATCTACAGAGAAGCAGAGGCATACCGGTGCATTAGCTGAGCAAACGCGTACTTAAACTGTACGGTTTGTTTTGTTTTCACGGGCCATTACACCCCTAATGTACTTTCTTAGCGTAAAGAATCAATTTGCAAAAAAGCTTTTGTTGCCTGCTGCTTGTGATTTTTCTCTACCACCTGGATGCTATCAAAAAATCTAATGTGTGAATTTGAGCCAAAATAGGATTACATGAAAGCCATTATATATGCATTCTATTGTAATAGTTCAGTTGAATCACCAAAAAGCAAGTAAAATCAGTTGAATTCATAAAATTGTATAAACCCTAATAATTTTTAGAACTTTAACAGTAATAAGGCTCTATGAAGTCTGTTTTATTTTCTATATTCAAAAAAATGCAGTAATCAAATTAGAAAACTTTAACAAAGACGTTTGTTTGATGATGCAAAACATAACTGATCACAGCAATGATGGGAAGACATTCTGGAATCACTGCTCATTACTGCAGTAATTATTATTTGCCCCTTTATTTGGTCACAGCACATCAGACTTCGTTTCAAGCTTCTTTCCGAGTACAGATTAAGAAAATAACCCTACGAGTTCTCAATAGTTAACTGAAAGGGTGTAGACGTGGGTCATGTGCTGTCAGGATTAAGAGCTTCATTGAATGCTTTCACATGACTGTGTTAATCTGTGACTCTCCAGTTAGAGAAATATGTAGCCTATGAAGTCTTCGTTTAGCAGACACTTCTTAACTTGTGATTTACAGTAAACGTACAACATCAATAGTATCCAAGGAGCAGCTTAAGTGGTAATAATGCTGATGTAGATCCAAAATAAACAAAAAGTGGCGCTTCATCACTGCCAAAATGTAAAAAAAAAATCAGCTTTTGCTGCAACGTGTTGTAGGCATCCATTGACCCATGAGTCAGTTAAACATTGTGTTTTCGTGATATTATCAGGTCAGTATGTCATTATACACATGTGCTTCGCTGTTATTGCTAGAAACATCACTCGGATCCCAAAGGCTCAGACAGACTGACTGAAACACAGATGCATGTAGACGACTTGAAAGGCATTATGGTCCGGAACATCGGTGAGACCCGGTCACTTTATTCAGTTGTTATAAATGTTAGCGGTGACTTTCGAGTGAACATGTGCTGCGTTGTGTTGCTGTAGATCTCGTCGCTCAGAGAGGAGAGAGACTCGAGCTGCTCATCGATAAAACGGAGAACCTGATGGATTCTGTGAGTTTCTGTTTTAAACTTTAGTTTAAGTCACTTCATGGTGTTATGTATGCTGATGATTATTCCTCTTGTATGTGCAGTCCGTCACCTTTAAAACAACGAGCCGTAATCTGGCCCACGCCATGTGTATGAAGAACCTGAAGTTAACCGTCATTGTCGTAGTAGTGGTGCTGGTAAGTTCTGGAGCTCACCGTAGATAAAACATCACAGTCCAGTAACAGGCAAACCTGAGAGAAACACAGCAATAACAGCTGGATCTCAGTGTGTGTGTGTTTATCCTCTGATATTGTGTAGAAGAGCGATTCCCCTCCATTTCAACCAAACAGCAGATGTTGCAAAATATATCCAAAATGTTTCACGTCAAGTCACTTTTATTTATATGGAACTTTATACAATACAGATTGTTTCAAAGCAAGCTTCACAGTGATGAACAGGAAAATTCAGTAAT